TATCTGATTTTTTTATTTAGAAATCACAGAATGGATTGCCATATCAGCAGTTATTGGATTAATTACGTACTTGCCCACAGCCATTTTGTGTTCTTGTATACAGGTGCATATGCTAGCATACCAAGACAAGATTTTACTTGTGCATCAGGAAAAAAATGTCAGTGATTTAAGACCATCAAGAGAATCATCAAGAACTATACAAGCGTTAAGGCTGTTTTCTTTTTCTGGTTTAAAAATAAGGAGTGTTCCCTTAAGGTTGCTCTTAGAGAACAACAGGCAAAAGATCAAATCATACACCGATTTCTAACAAAAGCATTAGGAACCACCAGGACAGCTGCTTGGAAATAAACTGCACATTTTAAAAATCCTGTTAGGGATTTTCCTCTCCATAAAAACAGCTACTAACACAGCAATACCATTGAAGTTAAACTTCAGTACTGAGGGTTTGTTTACTTTTCATTTCCTTCCCTCATATTGCTTTCCATTTTAAAATTCCACCTATCCAAATAGCATTTTCAGAGGGAGTATTAAAATAACATATTTGTCACAAAATAACACAGAGGAAACTGTTTTCTAACACATAGTTCTTACTGCAGCCAGTAGTTCCTGAGGCTTTAGTTGCATTCCCTCCCTCCATTGTGGTTCCCAGACAAAGAAAAAAAAATCAGTGTGGTTTATTTGGACTTGGACGGGGTAAAAGTTAATAAATTGTTGTATCCAAAGTCTGTAGTCCCAGTGCTCTTCACTAGTTCTACTTTAGCTCTGATTTTCAGACCTTCCTGGGTTACGGTCACTGGGATGTTTCCAGTTTTTCTAAGTAATTTAGTTGCATTCACTGGGCCTCCAAGTAGGTTAAAAGTCTTAACAGCAGCGAGTGAGTTGACTCCTCTGAGAAATGAGTGATATGCCCACAACTGAAAGCAGGTATGGAATATCTCCAACTTCTCCATTCTGGGTCTTCTCATCATGAACATCTGATGGTTGCATGAGTCCTTTCCCTGCCAGCATCCCTGGGAAGAGGTAGCCGCTTCTCCTCCTTTCTTCTGACCCAGTAATTCCCAACCTTTAATGGTTTAAATGGTGTAAAGTCATCCCTTCTCAGAAAATCCAGGCTTCTTTCTCCCACAAAGGGCCTTTGACTCATACATACACATGAATGCTGACTTTAATATACCATTCCAAAAGGTCAAGGAAGAAATTATTTAACAAGGGCTACAACACCCCTTCATGGATTGCTGCCTTGTTGGTTGGACAGTGTCATCGAAGCTACCAACATAAATTTGACCCAACTCTGGGAGGCAGTGGAAGACAGGAGGGCCTGGCTGTGCTCTGGTCCATGGGGTCACGAAGAGTTGGACACGACTAAACGACTAAACAACAACAACACAACACATATATGGTGACCTGCAACCCCACCCAGAAAATACTTTGCAACCCCCTTGAGGGTCACAACTCCTAAGTTGGGAAATAGTGTTCTATCCCTTTATTTCCTTTCTTTCTCTTTCTCCCAAAAAAGAAGGCTGGGGAAGGGTTTGTATTTTTTTGCCTCCCCTTTGGAATCTTAAACTGGACTCACACTCCATGCAAGCGGTCCTCTTTGTAGATATAATCCTACTTCCCTGGGATTCTTCTTCAGGGGATTCCTCAGTCCAGTAATTACAGGACCATTCTTCTCTGGGATTCCCCCCATTCCTTGGACTCAGGATCTATGGTTTCTCTTCTTCAGTCTGTCCTCCTACTTCCCCTGAGGAGATACTCCTTTCAGGGTTGAGGTGACCCGTGACTCCTGGGGCAGCCTCCACTCCCTCCAGTTGGAGTTCCTCCTTCTCTTGTTGATCCCCACTTCCTACATGGGGAACTGCGTTTTCCTTTTCCTTTTCTATTAACACCTCTTCCACCTCCTTTTCCTCCTCAGAGACATCTTCCCTTCCTTGAGGGGTTAGGGCTTCTCCTCCTGAGATGTCCATCTGTCCCTGCATTCTCCCTTCTTTTCCCTCTCTTCACTGGGAACACCTCCTTTATACCCCAGTTTCTGCTGATTTCCTAGAAAATGTCCCTCAACTCCCATACTCAACCGCACTGTCTTATCTTCTGTTTGTGTCACTGTCTCTCAGCTTTATTTAGGGACTGCAGTTATAATGCCTTGCATACCTTCAGCAACACTCATCATAGGTGGAGATGGCTGCATGGTCTTCTGGGCAGGCATCTCAGGTCCCTGGACGGACTGGAACATCTGTGACCTTGTCTCCCCCACAGGGACTTAGGGCATGGCCACCCAGTTTTTCCTGGTTGATGCAAACGTCTCAATATTGTACCCTGGCATTTAAAATGTCACAATTCTCACAACGTTTAATTCTCCTCGGAAGGTGTGCTTCAAATGTCCATAATCACATAGCTCCCCTTGTTTTTCACTCTTCTCTGCCATTACTACTATTTTCTTGGTAGCACAAACCAACAGTTTGTCTAAACCATACTCTCCTATCCTAACAAACCTAAACATGAAATGAGCCCAACTGTTAGTCCCAATGAACTATTGCAATTCACACTTGAGTTAAGTTAAATTCCTTTTTATTCAATAAATGTATTCTAGTTGGGACTAACATTTAGATTTAACCTGACAGTACAACAAAAATTATTTTTATTATTATTATTTTATTATTTATTATAATAAGAATGCCATCCAAATAGCCAAATACTAATTATTATGACAGATGGAGCCATAATAGGCTGGCATGACAAGGGATCCTGCTCAAATTCTGTCGCTTATGTCAGCATATTCTTGTTCCAGGCCCACTCCCAACTCACTTTTCAAGGACCTCAGCATCACAGCCTTCAAAAACCAAAGATAGGCTAGCCTTCCTCTATCTTGGGTCCCAGTGGTGTCAACTTATGAATTCTATCATGCCAAACACTGAGAGGTCAGGTTGGGTTGATGGTGTTGTGTTGTAATGTATTGTAGTCCAACATCTTGGAAAACACAGTTGGAAAAAAACAGTGCATTGACAAACATTCAGACTTCCAACAAAAATGATGAGGCGCTGAGGCAGGCAAGGAGCCCCACTGGCTTGCATCTGCACACATCCAGCTGACCTAACCTTGAGTTCCCAGATATCATGTTTCTTTGTGCTATACAGCTCATCTAAAACTCTACTACAAAGCAAAAAAATAAATAAATGGAGATTTATCACTGAAATTTATATGACTGTTCACCCAATTTAAGAACTATGGAGAAAGACAGCAGGTTGCCAAACAAAGAGCCACAAAAGCAGCACCACTGCAATTTGAAGAGTACAAAGTGCTGTGTTAGCAAACATTTGTTTGTCAGTGAAGGGTCAAAGACATGAACCTGTTTTAAAAAGCAAACAACTGAAGATACATATGAAACAGAAAAGATACAATACAAAGAATTTAGAGTTTTTCAGTAGTTCTTGCTCAGTGCATTGTTTCAACTCCTAACAAAGCCCAAGATATCAAATTCATTGAATCTAGGTTAGGAGTGGCTGTATTTGGCTTCAGCTAGTCCTGTACTTTGAGCAATTTGTAATTTGGAAGGTAATTATATTAACTTGTCTGTGTTGTGCGAATATGCACACAGAAGAAATCAATGCAGGTTTTGAAGCTGCAGTTTGAAATACAACATCAGCACAGTGTTCCAGTTGCTCATTCGTAGAGATCACGTTTACCAACAGACTAGAACAGTGGCTCCCAACCTTGGGTAATCCAGATGTTCTTGGAGTGCAATTCCCAGAAGCCTTCACCACCATCTGTGATTATCAGGAATTATGGGCAATGAAGTCCAAGAACATCTGAGTTACACAACGTTGGGAACCAATGGACTAGGCATATACTAGGAAGTGATGGAAAACAGCACCCAGGAGTAATTATCTGCCACATCATTACAGTACTTATCTACACAAACCCGAATGCCCTATACTCACAGATGTATGATGCATTAACATGAGATGGGTTTTCTTTAAAAAGTAAGCCACACACAGTATTTCGTTCGCAAGAAATGAGCTGACTTGTTGATGATATGAAATCAAGAACTCATTCTTCGACGTTCCCAATGGGTTTTTATACATGCATAGCAGATGTCTCCAGGACTACATGTGCACAACAGCTCCCAGCTCCAGGGCTTTCACCACACCCAACACTCGCTCTAAACCAAAGTGCCCTGCCCTCAATGCCTTAGTATCGTGCTTGCTGAGAGAATCATAACAATTCCTTTCTTTCCTCATGCTTTCTGGACGAACATTTTGGCAAGTTCGTGGAAGCTTTTGAGAACACACTTTTGGCGAGTGTCCGTCCCAAGAAACGACTGTTTTTAAACTAATGCAAAACCGGCCTTAAACTAACGGCATCTCTGCCCATTATGGGGTAACACTGTCCCTTAAAGCTTTCTGTCGCTTCCCACTAGCGACGCGGGTTCACGAGAGCTCATGCCCCCCCCGTACATTTCTTGGCTTTTGAGATGCCCACCTCCCAAGTCGACCGTCAACCTCGGGGCTTTAGAGTGAGTGGTTCACGTGGCAGGCAAGCCCCGGGGACTGGAATCCCTCCACTCCCATTCAGCCTTCAGCAGCCCCGAAGGAACGTGAGCCAGCGTCGTTCCCTCTCAGATTAATATAATAACCTCACGAGGCTGTTGTACATGGGGTGGTGGAGGGGGGGGGGAGAGGACGCGCTGCGCTGCCTGGAGCTCCCGAAAGGAGGTCGGGATCAAAATCTAATAATAACATTTCGCCAGGCTTCTTCTGCTGGAAGCAAATGCACGACGGCCACGTGGCCTTTCCCCTCACATTCCCCCAGTGCCCAAGTCAGCCAGACCACCCTGCCTCCCCCGCGCGCCCTGGGGGTTTGCACGCTCTCTCTTGGGGTTTCTTCCTACCTCCCCTACACGCACGCGCTCACTCCCCCCCCCAAAAAAAGAGAGCGAGAAAGGGAGACAGGTCCCGTCGCCCCGCAACTTTTCTTCCCCCCCGCCGGGGGGTCTCCATTACCTGCCGAAGGGTCCCAGCGAGTCAAAGAGGAGCTCAAAATTGCGAGCCATGACGGGGAGCGGGGGGGGGGGCGGCGGCGACCGTCAGTCGGCGTTGTGCGGACGCGGGCAAAGTCCCATTGCAAACTCCCTGCCCCGCAGAGTCCGCCTGCTTCCAAGGGGCGGCACCTTCGCCCTCCAACCCAACGGACCCCTGGGGCCGGCTAGCGGGCCGCCTTAACCCCACCCCTGGCGGCAGGGGTGCCAGCCTTAAGCTGGCCGCTGTCTTTCCTCTGCGTTCCCACGTCGCTACCACACACACACACACACACACACACACAAACTGAGACACCCCTCCAGCTTTCTTCACGCACGTCCTACCTTCACGCCCCATTCCCGCCGGGGAAAGTGGCACCGACCGAAGCCGTGGTCGCTGCCCTCACGGGGGCCGGATAGCGGGAGAGGCCATAATGTCTGGGTTCTCAGAGCGGTTCTGTCAGGAGAATTTTAATGGGAGCTTTTGCGTATCGAGTTCACTTCATCAGATATTAGAGTGAGACGATATGACCGTCATATCTATACATGGCCCCAGGAGCAGGTGGGCATATAGATACCGGACAAAGTGACAACGGCTTGTTAGTAAAACAAAAGGCTCTCAGACTAAATAATCCTTGGAACCTTTTCTGCTCTGTTGTTCTGTGGTTTGGGTTTTATGCGAAGACACGTGTTTAGGCCCTGAGAGTATTTAGTAAGAGTTTACTGGTGGGGATTGTAAGTATACAAGCTCCTTTCCAGAGCTGGAGACTACAGACTATACCAGTAACAGAAGGATGGTAAGTGTGATTGAAGAGAAGATTAACTATGGTAGATTGGCACCCCTCTGGACAAGCGACCAGTCAGGATGAAATTTAAAACCTCTACAGCAAAAATTAGTCAGTCAGCATTTGGCAAAATTTGCCCCCGTCACGTAAGTGGAACATGGAAACAACACATCAGAAATTTTGCAAAGATTTTACAAAACATGAAGATGGAGTTTCCTAACATACAGTCCGATCACCATGTGTGGGTGTGAAAGCTGGATTGTTAAGAAAGCTGACAGGAAAAAAATATATTTGTTTGAAATATAAGACTGGAGGAGACCTTTGCAGATACCCTGGACTGCCAGAAAGATGAACAGGGTGGGCCTGGACTACCTCTGGAGGCAAAAATGTTGAAATTGAGGTTGTCCTGCTTTGGATGCATTATGAGAAGGCAGGATTCTCTGGGAAAGACAATAATGCTGGGAAAGGTGGAAGGCAACATGGGCCTGGACTACCTCTGGAGGCAAAAATGTTGAAATTGAGGTTGTCCTGCTTTGGATGTATGATGAGAAGGCAGGATCCTAATGCTGGGAAAGGTGGAAGGCAACAGGAAAAAAAGAACAGCAAGTATGAGATGGACTGACTCCCTAAGGCTTATAAAAATTGAGCAGGGCAGTTGAGGACAGGACATTTTGGAGATCAGTCATTCACAGGTTCATTGACAGCACATAAAACAACAAAAACAACATACAGTGAGACCCAAAGAATAGGAAGAGCTCAAGAATAGAAACTAATTAATTTCCTAGCAGGAGTTTATGTTCCCTTGATAATCTTTTCTGAAGTTGGGAAGTGGGGGAAAGCTTATAAATTTCTGTATCCATTTAAATTTATTGTTAGCAGATAAGGATCAATTAATGTCAGCACAGTAAAGAGTCTCACCATTCCAAAACAACCCACAATTCAGGAGAACTCAGAGCTGTTATTTTGACTGCTGCAAATATTATTTTTCAGTTAAATGTCCCTATAGTCAGGGTTCAACTAGATGAGAAGGTTGGCCTGGATTGATCTGGCTCAATTAAAAGTTTCTTGTGTCAATTAAACTGCTGTTCTCATTCCCAAGGAATTTTTTTTAATCCCATGCAATTTTCAGGGCAAGAGTCCACAATGCACCTCAAATCACTACCATTGCTACCAGAGTTGCAGATCACCATCCTCCTCTGTTATTAACACCACTTTCCTCCTTGACCCATTACAGTGGGGTCTTGACTTAAGAACGGCTTGAGTTAAGAACATTTTGACTTAAGAACCGCTCTCTTAGGAAAATATTGACTTGACTTAAGTACTTAGATTTGAGTTAAAAGAACTGAAAAAAAACCCACATCACAGTAAAGAGTCTCAACATTCCAAAACAACCCACAATTCAGGAGAACTCAGAGCTGTTATTTTGACTGCTGCAAATATTATTTTTCAGTTAAATGTCCCTATAGTCAGGGTTCAACTAGATGAGAAGGTTGGCCTGGATTGATCTGGCTCAATTAAAAGTTTCTTGTGTCAATTAAACTGCTGTTCTCATTCCCAAGGAATTTTTTTTAATCCCATGCAATTTTCAGGGCAAGAGTCCACAATGCACCTCAAATCACTACCATTGCTACCAGAGTTGCAGATCACCATCCTCATCTGTTATTAACACCACTTTCCTCCTTGACCCATTACTTTTTCGAAATATTTGGCCTGTGACATAGGACTACGATGATGTGACAGCTTGTGAAACTGCAGACTCATCTGACATAGCATTAAATTTGACAAACATAATACAGTGGGACCCCTGTATCCATGGTGGGTTCCACAATCAACCATATAGGGAACCCTATATGCAGCATATAAGAGAGTGGGACAGAGGAGCACCCTTATATGTTGTATATTAGACTGCAGCAAACTGCAGGTAATTGAAACCACTGATCGCAATCTCGCGGATACAGGGATCCTATTGTAATAATAAGAAATTTTTAGAAGAGAGACACATTTGATGGGGATGTTCCTGCTGTGCTGGCATACTGTAACCCACTGAAGTTTGAAAACCCTGAAAAAACATTGTTGTTGTTGTTGGTAATGTTAGTATTGTCAGTATGATGCAGCTTATAGGCCAAACTTTTCAGGGATGTCTGGTTCTGCTTTATTTCCTATTTTTGCATGCCAGGAACATATGATTATCATAACATTCTGTTCTGGTATCTCATCAAATTCCTTCTGGATACTTGCATAAGAGTAAGAATATTACTTCTTTTTCAACATCTGTAGTTGCAGCTACAACTACAGCTGTAGTTGGAATGATTTGTAGTTGAATTATTGTTATGCTTATAGCATGAAATCAGATTGTAATTTATAGTCATTAACTTATTGTATGTCTTGCCTCATTATTAGAGCAAAAATGTGGATCTGTTGTCTGCAAAGTAAAATACTTTGTCTGAAAAGTAAAATACTTTGCAGATTGAAAAATGTCCTGTTCCAGCCCACTAAACACCAGGCATCACAGTATTTAAAAATTTAATTTCTTATTTTATGATATTAATGTGCTTTATTTCATACTTTTCGCATTCCATATTTCATTTATATTCGCCAATGTTTCCCAATCTTTTTTGAGTTATGGCCATCTTTTATAATAGCCTAGTAATTGGGATCTTGTCTGCCACTTTTGTATAAAAAGGCATTTTAAACAGGATAAAGAAAACACATTTAGATTTTTCTGAATATAATTCTAACATAATATATTGATAATAATGTAACAATACATAATTATGGGGAGGCTGTAAATTTGCCTCTACCAGATAAAATTTGATAATTTTGGGGTGTGTGGAAATGACCCTCCATCCATGCCTCCTCCCCCTCCCCAAAAGCCCCCTCAATAAAGAGCTTCTCTCCCTCAACCCCCAAATCTCCCCACAGCCCCCTGTGACTCCCCACTCCCTGGTTCTCTTCCCTCACTTTCTTGCCGCTCTTTGTCTTCCACCTCCGTGTTTCAGGCAGGGCGCAGAGGCATCTCCCTGCCCAGGTCCTCTCTCCCTTCACTGCACCACCATCACCACACCCAGAAGAATGTGAAACTCAGATGGAGCAAAAGGGCACAACTGCTATGGCAGCAACAATTTTTCAACGCTGCTGCCATCTTATTGTTGTTGTTTAGTCGATTAGTCATGTCTGACTCTTCGTGACGCCATAGACCAGAGCACGCCAGGTCCTCCTGTCTTCCACTGCCTCCCGGAGTTGGGTCAAATTCATGTTGGTCACTTCGATGACACTGTCCAACCATCTCATCCTCGGTCGTCCCCTTCTCCTCTTGCCTTTACACTTTCCCAACATCAGGGTCTTTTCCAGGGAGTCTTCTCTTCTCACGAGATGGCCAAAGTATTGGAGCCTCAGTTTCAGGATCTGTCCTTCCAGTGAGCACTCAGGGTTGATTTCCTTCAGAATAGATAGGTTTGTTCGCCTTGCAGTCCAGGGGGCTCTCAAGAGCCTCCTCCAGCACCACAATTCAAAAGCATCAATTCTTCGGCGGTCTGCTTTCTTTATGGTCCAGCTCACACTTCCGTACATCAGTACTGGAAAAACTATAGCTTTGACTATGCAGACCTTTGTTGGCAAGGTGATGTCTCTGCTTTTTAAGATGCTGTCTAGGTTTGTCATCGTTTTCCTCCCAGGGAGCAGGCGTCTTTCAATTTTGTCCCCATCTGCAGTGATCATGGAACCCAAGAAAGTAAAATCTGTCACTGCCTCCATATCTTCCCCTGCTATTTGCCAGGAGGTGATGGGACCAGGGTCAGAATCCCCTGAATGCACTGTGGACTCATCTCATTCAGGTCTCTTTGAGCCAGGCTTGACGGGTTTGATGTAAACCTGAAGAGAATTGTTAATCCAGTTTTCTATGAAGCAGTTGTAAAAAACTAAAATACTGTAAGTATTTGTCAGAATTAATAGAAAGAAAGAATGTAAAGTAGCAATTTATACAGCTGGGATGATACAAGAATTGTATCAGCTGTGAAGAAAAATCTAGGATTGGCTGAACCAAGAATAAAACCAGCAGCCTCAGCACACACACTCTGGTGGTGTGGTGATGTAATGTCATGGAGAAAATCTTGGAGAAGAAGATTCTGATTGCTGGACTGATTTACAAGGACTCTGAACTGATTTATGCCTGAACTCTGTTGATATTACTGTGAATAACCATTGGACTGAACGAGGACAAAGCTGTATGTATGTATCCTGCAACAAACTTGATTAAATATAATTTTCTGCTATCAATACTGTCTCTTTGCTTGCTGACTTCATCAATCTGGGAAATTCTACATGTTAGCGCCATCTGGCACGCTACAACTCTGTTAAGGCTAATGCTCAGGTCCAAAGGGTTGACACCAGTCCTCCAAGGGTGGATGTGGAGGAACAGAGAGAAAGCAAGAGTGGCTCTTTCAAAAGGGGGTAGGAGTGATGTGCATGCATAAAAGGAAAATAT